TCGAAATTTCTAGATGGAAAGGGGCGTGGTGATGCTGGGTTGAGTCATCCGTCGCGGACGGCCCTCGTGCCGTCTCGCGCTTTCCCCCAGCCTTCGCTGCGCATCGTGCCGACGAAATGATGAGAATTTTCTGGAATCGCGCACGGAAGGTATTTAACCGAGCAGCGGAGATGGGAGATGAGGAGAAGACAGAAGTTAGCGCCAGAGCGCGTTGGGTATTCCGCCATGTAGTCGGCGAAGGTTTTGTCCGTAGAGACAAAACAGGAGAAGAAGATGATTTCCACCTGAGGGGTGAAGGCTCGAGCTACAGGCAAGAGCGTGTGTCTACCGCTATCGAGCGAAGACGCGTGGCAACAGCTGCGTGTGTGAAGCCGACGTGGTTCAGGCGAAGAAGTTTGAAGCTTGGAGAGTGGCCGCTTGAAGACGCGAGGTTTTCTGGAAGAGAAACTTCGGGAGCACTTGAAGACGTGAGGTTTCCTGGAAGAGAAACTTCGGGAGCACTTGAAGACGCGAGGTTTCCTGGAAGAGAAACTTCGGGAGCACTTGAAGACGCGAGGTTTCCTGGAAGAGAAACTTCGGGAGCACTTGAAGACGCGAGGTTTTCTGGAAGAGAAACTTCGGGAGCACTTAAAGACGCGAGGTTTTCTGGAAGAGAAACTTCGGGAGCACTTGAAGACGCGAGGTTTCCTGGAAGAGAAACTTCGGGAGCACTTGAAGACGCGAGGTTTCCTGGAAGAGAAACTTCGGGAGCACTGGAAGACGCGAGGTTTCCTGGAAGAGAAACTTCGGAAGCACTTGAAGACGCGAGGTTTCCTGGAAGAGAAACTTCGGGAGCAGCAGAACGACAGAGGTTTCCTGGAAGAGAAACTTCAGGGGCAGGGGAACGGCAACAACGCTGGACTTTGAGTGAGTGATTCTCGGAAAAGTATCATCCAGACTTTTGTTCCAAGAACTTTGGACTGAATAGGTTTTCTACCTCTTTAGTCTTTAAGTGTCTTGGTTGTTCGATGCATGCGACTGCATTGTAGTGCGTATTGTTGTCTGTGCCCGTTGTTTCGAGTGTGGCCGATTGTACTGTGTCGTACGTTGTTTGGTTGGTGACATATTGTATTCAACTATTGTGGAGTGTGCATACTTGTGTATTGTTTTTGATCTGCCATTATTGAGAATATAATTTTGTTTTGTTTATCAACTCTCGGCTCTGACTTGTTCTTTGGGCCACAGGCGGCGTCCGCTGGCGCGCCAAAAAGGACCACTTCTAAATTGTCCACGCTTTCGTGGTGCGGTTCGGGGGGCCGATACTTCGGCCCTTGGAATTAGCTCGGCGATTGCCTCTCGAATTAACGGGACCCGTGACACCATGATGCTCGAATGAATGAGAGTGGTGTGGAACCGTCAGCCAAGTATACTGCTGCATCTTTGCAGCATGCTGGTGTTAGAGGGGTTTTGTGGTCACTTAACCGACGCTGTGAAGCGCGCACTGGGCGATGGAAAAACAGACCTCGCCGTGATACCAGGTGGTATGACCTCCACTCTCCAATCGATCAACGTTGTGCTAAACAAGCCGTTCAAGGACCGAGTGCGGCTGGAGTACCAAAAGTGAATGTTCGGCGACAACCCAAAGACACCGACGGGCCGGCAACAGAGGCCTCCGCTTGCAACTGTTTGTGGCTGGGTGCTTTCTGCCTGATGTTTCTTGACAGATTCCATGGTGCGAAATGCTTTTAAGAATTGTTTCATCAGTAGCTTGCTGTATGGCACAGAAGACAACGCACTGCGGGAGGCGACCAGCGACAAACTCTCGTCTTCAGAAGACAGTGGTGCCTCGTTTGACGAATAGGAACAGTTGCGATGGTGGTTGAGGAGAACGTTGACAATCGGGGTGCGGTGCGCCCAATCTGCAAATAAATTCGGCGATGCGAGGCGCAGTAGCAATGATTTGTTTTTTATTCTTTTTCCACTGTGAGCTACAAGTACAGTTATCACAAAATGTGCGGGGTGCCGCTGTGCACACACCGTACAGTCAAAGGCGAGCTTTCCTGCTTTGCACGAGCAGTAACCCTGCAAGAGAAAGAGAGAGGAAAGAAATATTTGTACTCGCGGCACTTCAGTCGGAGCATAGGCGCAGGGCTTCAGGTGGGCTAGCGCGCAGGTGCAGTCTAGCTTGGTCGTGAAGTGGGGGCGAAGGTTCATCTAAACGCGCCCACCTCTTCAAATATATCATTGTATGTGCGATACACTGGGCCCTCTTCTTAGGTTACTAGCCCCGTCTGCACCCACCCGTGCGCACATGTATGAGAAGTGAAGAAGTACTTCCCATGAAATTTCTTTTCGTTTCGTTGTTGACCCAACGTCTTAGTTTGTGGACTGTTGGGTTTAAATTTTATTCTGCACTGATCACATATTTTCGTTTGCTTATGCACTGCTTTTTATTGCTGTGCACTCACACCATTATGGGGGGGGGGGGGCTGACAGTAATTAGTATAGCATCCTATCGGCAGATTTTTTTGATGTTGCCCTTTATCTGTGAGACTATACTTGATAGAAAAATAAGTTTGATTTACAATGAACATATATATATGATGGTGTAATCAGCTTCCAAGCATGCCTAAAATTTCCCCGAGTGCTTTACTACCTCATTGATCACGCTTCAACGTGCAAATAAAACCAAGTGCCTTTTGTTTGCAATCGCATTATAGAAGCGTAGCTTCTGCCCTGCAAAGCAGCATTGGGGGTTCGAACGCTTGACGTCAGGACTCACTGTTACTTAGATCATGCGAGTGGGTGGCTTTGTCTTTTCAGAGCGCCGCTGCTTCTTTCATAGCCATGCATCGAAGCTAAAAGACATAAGACAAGATGCAGGAGTATCAGGTTGCTACTTTTGCTTCAGTGCGAGATGCCTTGGATGCTCTAAGCCATCCACTTGCACGACCTAGCTATGAGTCAACAACTGTGTGCACATACTCTGTTACACACTCATCAGGAGCAAGTGCTTCATTTGTGTGCAGCCATCAGGCCTGGTGAGCAACAGGTGTTTCTGTACTATCAGCAGGCAAAAATAGAGTAACTACACTTGCATGGGTGGGGTCACACATGCAAAGCCAGCAAGAATACCTTATTAAAAAAAGACACCCCCCCCCTCTTATGAAAGTAAATAAACCAGTACAGTATGTGAACTTGCCTTCATCGTTTCGAACCTCGGCTCATGCGGGTATTTCCTTGGTACGGGCAATACTTGGATACTTCACAAGCTGTACGTGCATCCCGTCACACCTCAGCAAATGATGTGCCCACCGTTCAGAACTTCTCCTTTAATAATACACTGCACACGTTTTTCAACACCCAGTGTGAGATATAATACATGCTAGAGTCAGTGACTTTCTGAGCAAAGCATTGACAACACAGTGGCTGCAGCCAAAAAACCTACGCAGTTCGAAGTGACGGGCACTTTATCTGGCAGCTGCTGCACGATCCTCCAGAGAACAGCCTTATTGGACTTACACTAGCGCCCTCTCTGGGCGGTGAAAGTTGCGAATCCGCTAATACGGTGAAACCTTGATGATTTGTACGAGCCGAGAACGGGGCATGAGTATGCACTAAATGGCAGGGCACGTTCACAAGTACAAATGTGCATATTCTGACGTGCACGATCAACAATGAACACAGTACCAGAGCAGTTTTTTTTTTATTTTTTATTTACAAGATACTGCAGGCATGGAGCCCAAGCAGGAATGGTACAGGCAGTAAGGCAATCAAGCCAAACATCACACAGCATACAATAATTCAATTGTCCAAAGTTGTTGTCCAAAGTACCAATGAGAGAGTCTCTTCTTCATTTTTGCCGAAGTGCGGAAAGGATACTGGGCTAGCACTTTTCCATGAGCGTTTCATGGCGCGCAGTGGCAACGCCAACGAGCATTTCAAAACTATTAAGATGTCCGAAATACACAGCGACTGAAATAGTGACAGAATGGATACATGTATGTCCCGAATACGTATGTGGGCTTGTCTACTGCAATCTGATAGTAAGCAACTACTGACAACTGACTGGCGTGGACTTCATCATCTCTTGGTTGGTTGCGTGTAGCGCGGTGCCTTGTGCTGCCCACACCGTCGCTGCCAAGCGGCTCGCTGTACCGTGTGTGCGTATTTGCCTTGTGAATTGTTCGTCCCCACTCCACTTCAGGCTGAGCACCAATGAGCAGAGTAGCTTGTTTAATTAGTGTAGAGATAACAAACTTCTGCCCGGCGAAGTACGCCACGATTATCTAGCAGTCATGAAAACAAGAGATAAGCATTGTCTATACCTTGTTATTTTCTGTCAGCTATGATGGGAACACGCACAGACATTTGAGGGTAATAAATTTGGTCAACTCATTATTACTCATGTTCAGTGAAAACTGTTGAAATTTTCTTTTACCAGAAGTAATTTTCATTGATGATGATATTTGACCTTAGAAAGTTGCTCCAAAGCTAACTTGGATTGCTCTGAACACATCTCTTGCTGCTGTGAACCTCTTCCAAAACTCATTTTACTGTGCCAAACCTGCTCTAAAACAGTATTATTTCTGCTCCCTCAGGTGCTCCAAAACACTCAAGTCCACTTCTACCCCTTCTCAGGCTAGAATCGTAGTGCTACATTCTTTTTGGTTTGTCCATTTTGACCAAAGAAAAATTATGCTTTTCATGTGGCTCACAGGAACCAGCATGTTGAGCAACTCGTGGAATGTGGTAAGTGCCTTCAGCAAATGGTTAATATACAATAGTACTCTGCAAAACGCAGTTAAATGAAGAGATATTTATTTAGGAGGTTCAGTTCATTCAAAGCTTGATATATCTACCTTTTTCTTTGCCCCTAGTTGATAGAAAGAGCAAAAACTTTTGATGTACATAACATGTGATAAGTTTTAGAGGTAAAGTTGCATTCTGGTTGGTAAAAAGAGGAAGTGTTTGAAAGGACCGCCGACAGTGCGCTGACTGTGATGAGTGTGTGTGTTCAGGGCCAAGCTGAAGGTGGTGTGCGTGAGCGCGAGCAACACGTGGGGCCTCTTCCTGCTGGTGCTGCTGCTGGGCCACGGCCTGGTGGAGGTGCCACGGAGCCTGTGGCACCGGGCACAGCCAGGACACGCCCTCTGCCGCACCTACTTCCGGGCTGCAAAACTCAGCCTGGAAGGAGCCGAGGCACAGGAGCGCCTGGATGATTTGCTACAGGTGAAGTGCTCATTTGTTGGGCTCCGTAGCTTCTTTGACAGGCACCTACATCCGAGTGCAGTCTCCGCGGCCGACATTCGACCCTTTTAACGCTGGGCTGGCACTAGGGGTGTACGATATCAAAGTTTTTGAATAGGAATCGAATATGAATTCATAGCTTAGAATACGAATTGAGTATCGAATAATGAAGATGTGCAATTTTTATTCAGCAGTAATCTTTTGCTCAATCATATATTTATGTTGAAAAATGTATGATTGTTATTATTACAGGACAGATTTACAGGCACTAAAAATTGGTTTTTAGGCACCAAAAATAGGCAAGCAAAATACTGTTTTAGGCCCCTCAAATTGTAATAATAGGCACAATAAACTTTGACAAAATTCATTTTTTTGAAAAAATACTTATGGCATACGACAGAAAAGCAAACAGGGATGTTTTAGTTTATGATAGTACAAAGGCACCAGCGGCATAGCATAGCCACACATTTTTTTTCCTGCAGGAATTGCAGAATACAGTCTTCCTTTTCTATTCCGGCATGGTGAGCTAAGCATCCAACGTTGAATAAGCACACTCTTGGGTCTCTTTCTTTTCGGCATTGCTGAGAGTGGAATCACAGGAGCAAATAGTGAAAGCGCTAACAGGCCAGGTTTTTTTGCTTTGTATTACCTTGGTTCAACAGCACAAGATCAATTTCTCTTCTATGTGTGAACACCTGAAGGGGCTCTTATTAGGTTTCAGAAATTTGAGCAGGCAGGATGAATGTATGCACTGGGCGCTCACAATCGCATCTGCAAAAATTTACACTGCTACGCGCTTCGGAAAGAGGTGAAATGTCAGACTGAGCGCCACTTGACCTTCAACTCAAGGGCGCGTGCCAAGCATGTTGGAAGGTGGCGTATACAACTAGGAACGACCCTGCCTTCGTCAAAGTAGTTCATGACTTTGCGAGAATTATTATAGGCAACGCGTGTAATTTGTGCTATTTGTTGCCTGAATAGAAGTAAAGTGGAATCCCGATAAACGAAACTGGCCTAAATGAAAATGCCTCATTAACGGAACTACACGGGCTCGTATGGCTGGACTTCTATGTGTTGCACAGTAAAATTCATCGGTTGATTCAAACAGTGCTTATTGGTTACCTACGGTTAAATGTCACAAACTCTAAGCACAGCACATACTCGCTCATGCCAAAGGTAGTCTCACAACCATGGCAACACCTCGAGATCGAGACAAGCTAATCCAGTAGCCGTTCTCGCTTGGGGCTGTGGCAGTCAAGTCGGCAAGTCAATTGTGCGTTGGGCCTATTTGTGCGGCGAAGTGCGTTGGATCACGGTGTTATTTCAGCCCGATGGAAATGAAGCGACTGCACCATGCACTCTTGCTTGAAAAAAGCTGCAAATTCTTCAGGAGCTCGATCGAAGCAGCCTGCCCAAGAAGGAGGTGGCGAAAAAATACATCCAGAAATCGATGCTGTCGCGGATCTGGAAAGACAGAGAAAAGTTTGAAGGCACTGTTAAGAATGGGACCTTTACATCTAAACGGATGCGGACAATGCCTTACGAACAACTAGAAAAAGTTCTTTTTCTGTGGTTCAAGCTTGCAGGGAGTTCCAATTTGCCCATAAGCGGACCTGCTCGAGAGATTGCCATGCTAATGGGTGTTAAGAACTTTGTCCTAAGCGACGGATGGCTCAGCCACTTTAAAACAAGCCATGGCCTAGTCTTCAAAGCAATCTCAGGGGAGAGTGGTGCAGTCAACACGGACATTTGCACCGACTGGCAGCAGGGGCGGCTTAAGGAAATTTTAATGAGCTTTGAGCCACGAGACGTCTTCACCATCGACGAGGTGGGTCTTTTTTATAAGGCGCTTCCATCAAAGACTCTCACCTTCAAAGGTAAAGCCTGTAGTGGAGGAAAACTTAGTAAAGATCACATTACTGTGCTGGTGGGTGCAAACATGGTGTCACAGAACGAGCGCTCAAAATGGGCGCGCCGCCAAATTCTTGCGATAACGCGCCGAAGTGACGCCGCGAGGTCAACGGAAAAAAAAAGAAAGAAAACAAACATCTAAAGGCTCCCCGGGCACGCGACGCTCTCCCCTCGGAAGCGTGGCTTCGCCGATGAACCTCCTCACCCCACAGCGGCGGCCGGGCAAGCACTGGAAAGTTCTAGAAGGAAAGGGGCGTGTTCTGCCGGGTTGAGTCATCGGTCGGGGACGGCCCTCGTACAGTCTCGCGCCTCTTCCCCAGCCTTCGCTGCGTATCGCGCCGACAAAATGACGAGAACTTTCTGGAATGTGGTGCGGAAGGTATTTAACCGAGCAGCCGAGGTGAGAGAGCAGGAGAAGACGGAAGTTAGCGCCAGAGTGCGTAGGGTATCCCGCCGTGTAGTCGGCGAAGGTTTTGTCCGTAGGGACAAAGCAGGAGAAGACGAAAGTTAGCGCCAGAGCGCGTAGGGATTCCGCCGTGTAGTCGGCGAAGGTTTTGTCCGTAGAGACAAAGCAGGAGAAGGAGAGGATTTCCATCTGAGGAGTGAAGGCTCGAGCTACAGGCAAGAGCGTGTGTTTACCGCTATCGAGCGAAGACGCGTGGCAACCGCTGCGTGTGTGAAGCCGACGTGTTTCCGGCGAAGAAGTTTGAAGCTTGGAGAGTGGCCAATTGAAGACGCGAGGTTTCCTGGAAGAGAAACTTCGGGGCAGCGGAACGGCAACAACGCTGGACTTTGAGTGAGTGATTCTCGGAAGAGTATCATTCAGACTTTTGTTCCAAGGACTTTGGACTGAATAGGTTTTCTATCTCTTTAGTCTTTAAGTGTCTTGGTTGTTCAATGCATGCGACTGCATTGTAGTGTGTACTGTTGTCCTTGTCCATTGTTCGAGTGTGGCTAATTGTACTGTGTAGTACGTTGTTTGATCGGTGACATATTGTACTCAGCTATTGTGGAGTGAGCATATTTGTGTATTGTTTTTCTGATCTGCCATTATTGAGAATATAATTTTGTTGGTTTATCAACTCTCGGCTCTGACTTGTTCTTTGGGCCACAGCCGGCGTCGCTGGCGCGCCAAAAAGGACCACTTCTAAATTGTCCACGCTTTCGTGGTGCGGTTCGGGGGGCCGATACTTCGGCCCTTGGAATTAGCCCGGCGATCGCCTCCCTAAATAAACGGAACATGTGTGACACATGGCAGGAGATGAGAAATTGAAGCTTTTGGTAATGGGAAAATGAAGGCATCCACTTTGTTTCAAAGGCGTTCGACACCTTCCCGTTGCATACCATGGGAACTAAAGGGCGTGGATGACCATGGCCATTTTCGAAAACTGGCTTTGGGAGGAAGACACAAGGTTTATGAGGCAAGGCAGGAAGGTTGTCTTCATCGTGCATAATTGCCCAGCCCACGGTCATGTTCAAGGACTCCCAGCCATCACTCTGGAGTTCTTGCCAGCCAATGCAACGGCAGTGATCCAGCCGATGGATCAAGGTGTTATTCAGAACATTAAAGTTCATTACCGCAGACATTTGATACATCAAATGCTGCTTAGAGCAGGCAGCGGGAAATGCTACAGCATAGATTTATTGGCAGCCATTCAAATTTTGGCTTGTGCCTGGGATCAAATGAAGGCTTTCACCATGCTGGCTTTCCAATGCAAGAAAGCAGTATTTGATGAAGAAGAAAGCCCTGCTGATGCCTACATTGAGACAGTATTCAGTCAGGTCGTGCCCTCTGCTCCTTTCACCCTGCAGTACTACGAATCAATTGATGAAAATGTTCATACCTGTCATGAAGAGACTGTAGGGGAAATGATTGCGGAAGTGCAAGATGAGGATCAACCTTCCAGCAATGAATGTGATGACAACACTGCCAGTGCAGTAGTGCCACCAGACCGATCAGCTAAAGAAGCTGTTGAACTTTTGCAGCGCTATTTTGAACATGAGGCTTGTCCAGAATTTCTAGCTAGTTTGCCAGGCATGGGTGCATCCAGTCGAACCCGGGTATATCGAACTCCCCAAAAAACGTTTATTAGTTCGATATATGGCATAATTCGATATAGGCCCGGTATAGATTTTGACACAAAGACACATAACAAACTAGAAGGAAAGTACTTTATTAATATGGTGGCTTACTTGCGTGCCCTACTGTGGAACAAAATAGTCCGAGATTTTTTTTTCTGTGTTAACGACTTCGCTGCCTGCGACAGCATGCACGCCTCCACGTTGTCCTACGAGTCGGAGCAGCTGAGGCCGCAACCTTCCACATTAAGCAAAAGCGCCGGACAAACTCAATTGCACTAATCACTTCAGAGGATGTAGGCAATTGGCTGTCTTCGATTTCCATATTGCTGTCGCTTTGGCTCGTGGTCGGCACGACGTCTGCAATGTAATCCTCATCCTGTAATTGGCCCATGATGGGGACATCATCGTCCGCACTGACGGACTCGTCGAATGTCGATCCCTTGATAGCACCTGGGAACTCTGTCAGCTCGTTCCAAACTTCGGTGGAAATACCTGCGGTGTCTTCAGTGCTGTCAGAATTTGGGGTGTCATCACCAGGCATGCGGAAACCGGCATGCCGGAAGCAGTTCTGGATCGTCTCCTTCTTGACATTTGCCCACGATCTACTCAACATAGAAATAGCTCCGAGCAAGTCGATCTTAAGCTTCCTGCCGACACGAAGGTTCTGCAGCAGCCTCTCCACCAGGCCCTTCTGATAGCCGGCTTTCATTGCGCGTATAACGCCTTGATCCAGTGGTTGCTGTGCAGACGTAGTGTTCGGGGGCAAAAGACGCAGCTCGACGTTGCTGAAGGTCGTACTGCAGTGGTGCGATGAACAATTGTCCACGAACAGGCACACCTTGCGATTTTGGCCTACCAAATCATCATTCCGTGACGATAGCCATCTGCTGAAAAGCTCCCCGGTCATCTACGCTTTTGAGTTTGCTCGGTAGGTAACTGGAAGCGACAACGCATTTCGAAAACACTGCGGTGCCGTGCTTTTCCCGATA